AGGTAGGTAGATATATGATTATAAACAAATTGAAGGAGCCCCTATGGGATCACCACTGTCACCTGTCATTGCAAACCTGTTCATGGAAGAATACGAATCCAGAGCCCTGGCCAATGCCATCCACAAACCCAAACTATGGTTAAGATACATCGATGACACATTCGTGATTTGGCCCCATGGAAAAGAAAACCTAAACAACTTCCTAACACACCTAAACAGCACACACCCCAAAATCAAGTTCACCATGGAAACGGAAACAAACAACTACCATTCCTAGATGTACTAATCTACAAAAAAACAGATGGCACACTAGGACACACCATATACCAGAAGAAAACACACACCAACCGCTACCTCAACACCCAATCCCACCACCACCCAGCACAGATAAACTCCGTGGCTAAAACACTAATTACTAGAACCAAACGCCTGGCAGACAAGACACACATTAAGACTGAACTATGCACCCTGACCAAAGTACTGACAGCCAACGGCTTCCACAAAAGCAAAATCACCGGCTTGATCCACAAAAACACACTGAGACATAATAGAGACCCAGAAGATGAACAGGCCTATGGAACAGCTGTCCTGCCCTACATAAGAGGCACTACAGACAAAATTAGTAAGATACTACACAGACATCACATCAAGACTGCCTTCAAAACAGACAGAAAAATAGCAGCCATCCTCAGAAACCCCAAAGATAAAATTGATCTGGAAAACCAAGGCATATACGAAGTCCCCTGTGCATCATGCCCGGCCACATACATTGGACAGACCAATAGAAGAATAAGCACCCGCCTGGATGAACACAAAAATGCAGTCAAAAAGCTGGAACACACTTCCTCACTAGTCCAACACATGGAAGCCACAGGTCATAGCATCAACTTCAATGGCACCAAAACCCTAGCCACTATAGAAAACTCCAGCCACAGAGTCATCAGAGAAGCCATAGAGATTGAAAAAAGACCAGAAAGCATGAACAAAAGAGATGATTCCACCAGACTGTCAATCATTTGGAAGCCTGCACTCACAAACAAAAAAATCTCCACACCTGTAGCCAGGCAAACACCTGGGCACAAACAGATCCCCCCTGATACCTCCAGCTCAAACACACCCCAACCAGGCACCCAGATGAAACCCAGCTTCCTAACTAATGATAGCCGTCCATTTACCCGGAGCCAAGCTGCACTAAAGGCCTCCAATAAAGTAACACAATGTTGCCAGCCAATCAAGATACAAAAAGAGCCAAAAAACAGACAGAAGATATTAGAAACACCAATCAAGCGGAACACAGCAAACTCCAAGACCAATAAACACAGACCAAGACTCTCAACCAATCAGGATGAAGAAAAAACCATTCTGGCACAGCAATAGGCTGCCCCAAATTCAAATCTGAAACCACTGTAAAAGCCTGACTCACAGATGAACACTATACAGAAGCCTGATGATGGCAGATGAGATTCTGCCGAAACGTCGCTACAACTTTAAAAGCACAACTACTATGACGTGGGAAAATGCCCGAACAAAGCTGAATGCCATACATGTAAGTACCCGCGAAAACTTAAGAAAACATATATGATTATATATATACATACATAATGATAATGATAGATGATGGATAGAGAGACAGAGAGGTAGATTGATCAAGATAGATATAGATAGGTAGATAGATAAATGATGACTATAGATAATGGATAGAGAAAGGTAGGTAGGTAGGTGGATAGATGTGATGATTATATATATACACAGATAATGATAGATAATGATAGATGATGGATAGAGAGAGGTAGATTGATCAAGATAGATATAGGTAGGTAGGTAGGTAGGTAGGTAGGTAGGTAGGTAGGTAGGTAGATAGATAGATAGATAGATAGATAGATAGCGATGATAGATATGATAATGATGACAATGATAGATGATGGATATAGAGAGGTAGATAGGTAGGTAGATAGATATATGATGATAGATATGATAATGATAGATGATGGATAGAAAGACAGACACACAGACAGACAGATATATAGATAGATAGATATAGATAGACAGACAGACAGACAGAGATAATGATGATAGATAATGAATAGAGGTAGGTAGGTAGATATATGATTATATATATACATACATAATGATAATGATAGATGATGGATAGAGAGACAGAGAGGTAGATTGATCAAGATAGAGATAGATAGATAGATAGATAGATAGATATAATGATGATAGATAATGGATAGAGAGGGAGGTAGATAGATATAATAATGATTATATATACATAGATAATGATGATAGATAATGATAGATGGATACAGAGACAGAAGTAGATTGACCAAGATAGATAGATAGAGATGACAGATATGATGATAGATGATGGATATAGAGAAAGATAGATAGGTAGGTAGGTGGATATATAATTATGATAGATAATAATAGATGATGTATAGACAGAAAGAAAGAGAGAGAGAGAGAAGATAGATATGATAGATGGTGAATAGAGGGATAGACAGGTGTTTTCAACCTTGGCAACTTTTAAGGTGGGTGACTTCAACTCTCAGAATTCAGATGAGTCCACCCACCTTAAGAAACACCAACATGGATGAGACAGAAAAGATCAGTGATGCTCAACCTATGTTGGCTGGGGAACTTGGGAATTCTGGGAGTTGAAGTCCCCCCCATCTTAAAGTTGTCAAGGTTGAGAAACCTGAGACTGATAGATGATACATTTTAGATAGATAGAGGATAGGCAGATACATAGATGATAGATGATCATGATAGCTTATATAAACTGATAGATCGATTGACAGATTATATAAATGACTGATTTAGAGAAGGAACGAGAAAGAGGCAGGACAAAACTCTATCATTACATAACTATAGTTCTGTATCTATAATATTACAAGAAACTGGGAAATATTCCTCTAACTTAAGTGTTCCTACATGTGTAATATATATCCTTCTTTTACTCTTTTTCTTCCTTTCTTTACTTTCCTTCCTTACAAGTACGTACGTACATACATACATACATATATACATACATACATATATATATATATGCGGAAGGAAGGAAAGGAAAGAAAGGAAGAGAGAGAAAGAAGGAAGGAAAGAAAGAAAGAAGGAAAGAGAAAGAGAGGGGGGGGAGAGAGGGAGAAGCCATCTAATCCTTCCTCCTCCTTTCTCCCTTACAACGACCGTGCGAGGTAGATCGGCCTGCCTTCTAGGGTCCTCTTCCTCCCCCCGCCCACCCAGGAATCAGGCCAGGGTTAGACTGCTCCTAAGGGTAGACTGCTCCTGGACGTGGAGGCTCCACGGCAGCCGGCCCGGGGGGGTGGGGGGGGCGGTGCCACGTCGGGCGGGCGGGACCATCGCGCTCCAGCCGTGGGGAGGAGGCGAGAGTCCGTCGTGGCGGGCGGCGCCCGGGGTCTTCCTGGGGAGGGGAGGGCTCCGCTCACCGATGCCGAGGGTGACGAAGGCGGCCTGGATGAAGAGCGCGAGCCAGCTCAGCGCGTACATGAACCACATCGTCGCCCCGCGCCTCACCCGGCGGCTGGCAGCGATGGCTCCGCCCGGCACTTCCGGCACAGGCGGAAGTGGTTGGAACGCCAACGCCGCCGCCCCCCTGATCCTCTCTCACCATCTCCCTCCTCCACAGCGGCCCCCGGCGGTCGGAGGTGGCGCGGCAGGACGGCGCTCGCTTCGCTCTGCCATCCCGGCGCCCGCGGGCGTCCTTTGGAAAAGGGCTTCTCCTGCATAAGAGACAACAAGGCGGGGGAGGCCCAGGCAGAGATGGGAGCTCTTAGAGAAGGTGGGGGGCGGGCTGTGGCCCCTTGATGGCCTCTGGACTTCAACTCCCAGAATTCGTGAACCAGCATGGCTGACTCGGGAATTCTGGGAGTTGAAGTGCACAAGTTGTAAATGGGCCTTAGTCCCCCACCTTAGAGCCTCAGGGATTCATGGAACCGCTTCCCTTCATGGAGAAAGTCCAGGGGTGTGTGTGTGTATGTGTGTTTGTGTCTGTCCAGGTGTGTGTATGTGTGTGTTCAGATTTTGTGTGTGTCTGTGTCCCAGTCCAGATGTGTGTGTGTGTGTGTCCAGATTGTGTGAGCGTCCCAGATGTGTGGGTGCCCCTGTCCAGATGTGTGTATGTGTCCGTGTCTGTCCAGGGGTGTGTGTGTGTGTGTGTGTGTCCAGATTTGTGTGTGTGGGGGTCCATGTCTGTCTAGGTGTGTATGTGTATGTCCAGATTTTGTGTGTGTCTGGGTCCCCGTCCAGATGTGCATGTGTGTCCAGGTTGTGTGTCCCCTTCCAGATGTGTGTCCGTCCCTGTCCAGATTGCGTGTGGTTGTCCAGATGTGTGTCCATCCAGGTGTGTGTTGTGTGTCCAGATTGTGTATCCCTGTCCAGATGTGTCCGTATCTGTGTCCATCCAGGTGTGTGTGTGTATGTCCAGATTTTGTGTGTGTCTGGGTCCATGTCCAGATATGCATGTGTGTCCAGATTGTGTGTCCCCTTCCAGATGTGTGTGTGTCCCTGCCCAGATTGTGTGTGGGTGTCCAGATGTTTGTGTCCCATCCAGGTGTGTGCCCCATCCAGATGTGTGTGCCCAGATTTTGCGTGTCTGTCCCTGCCCAGGTGTGTCCATCCAGCTGTGTGTTGTGTGTCGATTGTGTGTGTGTGTATCCCTGTCCAGATGTGTCTGTATCCATGTCCGTCCAGGGGTGTGTGTGTTTGTGTGTGCGTGTGTGTGTGTGTCCGTTCCCAAAACCACCATGAGAGATTCAATCCTTGGATTTTTTATTTATTTATCTTTTCAGTCAAAATACGATATTTATCCCATTTCACCAGAATTGAATCCGACTGGTGTACAACAATCAAATAAACATTTGTATACAAACAGCTGCTGTAAAAAAATAAAAACAATAAAAACAATAACGATAAAACCGGGGACGCCCCCAAAGATTATTAAATGTCAAAATATTTTATTCATTTTATTTATTAAATTCATTCGTGACCCTACCCACCCCATCCATCTCGCCACAAGTTAACTCTATGTTGTGGTTCGCCGGCAGCAAGTGAGGACGGCTGAGGTCTCGGAGACCGAGTATTCTTTTAGCATTTTTAGTATTTATTTGATTTGTCAATCGCTTACAAGATACAGGTATAAGAATAAATATAGTTATGAATACATGAAACGGATACAAATAAGAAAAATAAAAGAAACAATAGGACAGGGACGGTAGGCACGATTGGTGCGCTTATGCACGCCCCCTACAGACCTCTTAGGAAAGGGGTGAGGTCAATAGTAGACAGTCTAAGATTAAAGTTTTTGGGGTTTGGGGAAGAAACCACAGAGTCAGGTAGAGTATTCCAGACATTGACCACTCTGTTGCTGAAGTCGTATTTCCTGCAATGAAGTTTGGTACAGTTAACCTTGAGTTTGTATCTATTGTGTGCTCTTGTATTGTTATGATTGAAGCTGAAGTATTCATTTGCAGGTAGGACATTGCAATGTATAATTTTATGTACTATACTTATGTACTATACTTAGTTCCAGAATTTCTAGGTCTAGAATTTTGAGTCTGGTGGCATAAGATATTCTACAATGAGTAGTACTCAGATGAGGGCCCTGCGTGTGATGCAGGGATGGGGCCAGGACCATCAGGGAGTGAAATGCTGCCTTCAGAGATTGTTGGAGGCTGGCAGCAGTGAGGAAGAGGTCCCCGAAGAGCCTGTGCCCAGGGCTGCTCGAAGGAAAGAGCAGCTGTAGCAGCACAGGCGATTCGGGAGTAAGGCTGGAAGGTGATGGCCCCTCCCTTAAGAGATAAAAGCCAGCTGAGAAACCGGAGTTCTTTGCAGGAAGCAAAGAAATTATTGCACTTCAAGCCTTGTGGACCTTCGGAATATCTTGGTTGGTGTTTGGAGACTTCTTTGTGTTTGAAATATTTCTTAGTAACTTTATCTAGTGTTTTTGGCAGCCTTGCACCACCTTGGCAAGGCTCGTTCTTATCAGAGACGATTAGTTTGAAACAGCCTTTTAACCGGGAAGGAATGGAATTCGTAAAGAATCATTCAAGGTTTTGCTGTTACCTCTGTTTGTTTCCTTGGAACACGGTTTGGGTCAAAACACTCTGGGTGGATACAACCTTGTGACTCTGCGTACAACATTGAAACGAAACCATAAATATCGCGGTAGGGAGAACTTCCCCGAAGAGGGTGGATGCTTCAGCATGAATCTGAAAGCTTGGAAGGCCAAAACTCTGGTCCTCATCACCGATCCAGATTAGATCTTGCAACCATTACCTTGGCTGGAATACATACATTGACCTTCATTCATGAAACCATAAAGGTATGGGGAAAAAATGTATAGAGTCCCATTAAAATGGCAATAAAATAGAAGTCAAATTGCTAAAGCTGGGGAGGAAGGGAGGAGAACTTACAGGAGGGAAGGTAGGAAGTGCTGTTGGTTGATCAACTCTTTTGAGGTGAGAGATCTCACCTGGGAGGTAGGAAAGGTGGGAGAGATCTCATCTGGGGGGAGGGAAGAAAGGTGTTGCAAAGGGCACAAGCCATGGAAGAGAAGGCCGTTCTCCTAGACCAGGGGTTTCCAACCTTGGCAGCTTGAAGCCTGGAGGACATCAATTCCCAGAATTCAAAGCTGGCTGGGGAATTCTGGGAGTTGAAGTCCTCCAGGCTTAAGTTGCCAAGGTTGGAAACCCCTGTCCTAGACCCCCTCCAGTTGGAATTCCTTGATTGACGGCAGTGGTGGGATTCACATTTTTTTTTTTACTACCGGTTCTGTGGGCGTGGCTTGGTGGGCGTGGCAGGGGAAGGTGACTGCAAAATCCCCCTTCCCTTCCCTCCCCACTCACCTGCTTTCCAGCTCCGTTCTCTTAGGCAGGGCAACCAAAGAAGACCCAGCCGATCAGCTGGGACTCAATGGGAGGCAGAGAATTAGAGGGGGTTGGCGGGGCCAGTCAGAGGTGGGATTGGCCGGTTCTCCCAACTACTCAAAATTCCCGCTACCGGTTCTCCAGAACTGGTCAGAACCGGCTAAGTACCCCTTCTGACAAGCGGGGTTTTGGAGAAGGAGCAACTGAAGCCCCACGTCGATGGGTGAGTGAGCAGGTGGATGCAAAGAAGCCCCGGGTGAGGATTGTCACCGTGTCCCTGATGTTCTCTTGCGCTAATGCAGTCTGGCACTTCCCGCTGCTCACTGACCGTGCACTGAACCTGCTGACCTTCGCGCCTGTGCGGCAGGCCGGAGGCCAAGCAGGACCCACATCCCGGGACCCATGGGCTGCTCTGGGGGCATTGGAAGAAGCCGCAAAGCCAAGCCAGGAGACACATGCCGATCATCAGCCGGGCGCCTCCCTTTTCATGAGTGCCAATAGCGGCCTGACCTTGCGCGCACGTGTGTGTGTGTGTGTGTGTGTGTGTGTGTAGGGAGCCACACAAGGGCACCCCCGTTGTACCCTCTTTGCACACTGCCAGGAGCATGTAGAAAAGCGCATATGTGCTCTGGGCTTTGGAGAATTCATGTGTTGCCTTTGGCCCAGGATGCAAATCGCCCTCTTTGGAGAGGTCCATTTCCTCCTACAGACACCCTGAGCTGCCTCTTCTCAGCTCTGGAAGGTCCTCACTTCAGAATAACGCAGGTGGAAGGGACCCATGGAGGTCTTCTAGTCCAACCCCCTGCTCAAGCAGGAGACCCTCTACCATTCCAGACAAATGGCTGTCCAGTCCCTTCTTTAAAACCTCCAGTGATGGAGCCCCCACAAGTTCTGGTGGCAAGGAGTTCCATTGGTAAATTGTTCTCACTGTTAGGAACTTTCTCCTCAGTTCCAAGTTGCTTCTCTCTTTGATTAGTTTCCACCCATTGTTTCTTGTTCTGCCTTCAAAATAAATTGACCCCCCTCTTCTTTGTGGCAGCCCCTCTAACATTGGAATACTGGTATCATGTCACCATTAGGAATAGAATGGAATGGAATAGAATGGAATAGAATAGAATAGAATAGAATAGAATAGAACAATTGAATGAAAAATAGAATAGAATAGAATAGAACAATTGAATGAAAAATAGAATAGAATAGAACAGAACAGAACAGAATAGAATAGAACAATTGAATGAAAAATAGAATAGAAAAGAATAGAATAGAACAGAACAGAACAGAATAGAATAGAATAATTGAATGAAAAATAGAATAGAATTGAATAGAACAGAAGAGAACAGAAGAGAATAGAACAATTGAATGAAAAATAGAATAGAGTAGAGTAGAGTAGAGTAGAATTCTATTCTATTCTATTCTATTCTATTCTATTCTATTCTATTCTATTCTATTCCTATTCTATTCTATTCCTTCTTTTAACTAGACATATGCTCTCTCTCTCTCTCTCTCTCTCTCTCTCTCACACACACACACACACACACACACACACACACACACAGAGTGCCCAAAGCTGGTGGGGTTGGCTGCGACATGGATGGGAGACCTGAACCCCAAAGAAAGCCGGGTCCATCCTAGGGGTCCTCAGACTGTAGAAGAGCGAAGCCCACCACCCTCCAGATTA